TAACCACATATAACCATATATTGAAGATTATGTTTAGCAGTTTCTTACTTTAGCTTATCTGTTTGATTATTTAACACAATACCCCTTTTTTTAAGCCACCTTTATGAGCCAGCGACGTAAGAAAAAATAGTTTTCCATTGGTAAATATGTGTGAACAAAGAAAAAATAATACACCACTCCCCATTGGTGTGATACAGATCCTCTAATACTTGGGTGTCAGCCGGTTCCAGAAGGGCCAGTGTGGCTGCAGGTTTTCATTCTAATCAAAGCCGGAGCACACAGACTCCTTCAATTTCCTCAAGTCTTCAGGTTGAGACCGGACTCAATTGAGGAAATGGGTAGAGTCTGCAGTGCTCCTGCTCACGTTGGAATGAAAACCTGTAGCCACACTAGACCTTTGAGGACCGGTTTGACACCCCTGCTCTAATAGGCAAGTCAAGTTTATTTATATAGCACAATTCATACACAAGGCAACTCAAAGGGCTGAACAAAATAAGAAAGCAGTTAAATCATAAATAATCACAGAACATTAAAAAGAAAGAGAAAAATATAAAATCCCTCAGTTGTATGCACAGCTAAACAGAACTGTCTTTAACCTGGTTTTAAACATTGTCAGAGACATCTTCAGGAAGATTGTTCCAGATTTTAGCAGCATGAATCTGAAAAGCTGCCTCCCCATGTTTAGTCCTGACTCTGGGCACTAACAGGAGTCCAGTCCCTGTGCTCCTCAGAGTCACTAATATATTTTGGAGCGAGGCCATGGAGAGACTAATCTAATAAAGTGCAAGGTGATAACAAACATGTAATCTTTTAAGCACCTCACTGCAAAACAAAATACCTGAAATTAATATTGAATAATTTTTGACTATAAGATTGATTTATTTTTTATTTTTTTTGGGATACATAGGTTAAACTCTAAGAACTAAAATATTGTTTAAAAGTCTATGTACGTCTGTAATTCCACTTACAATGTGAAACTAATACATGACCGACTCATGCCTCTATTTTAGAAAATAGCGAATTGTGGTTTCCTCCGGGTGCTCCGGTTTTCCCTATCACTAAAAACCTGTAAATTAAATTGGGATATCTTTTTTTTTGTGCAACTCTGGGACAACAAACTGTATTTATCTGACGGCTGCAATCTGCTGTATTTATATCATCTGCGGTTCATTAACACTCACTGTCCCATACATACAAATAAACAAACGGCCTTCCACCATTGTCTAACCTGCCTGCTGCCAAAAGATATTTTTTTGCCCCATAGTTCACATCCGCCACAGTCCAATTATCCAGAATAGAGCAGCACGGCGAAAAGACAAATAAATCTGTCCGAATACTTCGGAACTCGCACCTGCCCCATACCCGCCTTTGTGGTTCATATTATTCTTTCATGTTGTGTTTTACATGGATTGGTGTGAATGCCGGCATCTCAAGTGTGGTATAAGTCAGAGCGTAGTTACACAACTGGGCTCTTCTCGCAGACAAAGAGCAGCATAAGTCAAGACACGCTGCAGAAAGGTGAGGCACGATGTGGCAAAAGGGATTCATTAGAAGAGGATGTGTTGTCCTGCACAAAAAGTTGATTTTTTTTGGCTCAGGCAAACGATAATTGGGGCCAAGCCAGGGCTGGGACCATACAAATGGAAAAAAAAAATAGTTCAAGTTAAGCTTTTGTAACCCTCTCTTGATTTGACTGTAAATCAGATGATTGACTGTAAATCATCTGCTATTGTTACATGCCAAGACATGTATACAAAACAATATAGGCATGAGCTTTTCACCGTTTAACACAATTTTTCCTCTAGAGCATGTTTTAGCTGCTCATTCACAAGAATATGGACATTTTTGCCTCAAAATTGTTCCATAGAATCCAGTGAAGGTGTCTTCTTCAGCCTTGTCAGCAAATCTATCAGAAGACATTAGACCTAAAATGCTACTGATTTTTCTTCTTTATAGTTTCTAGACAGAGGCAAGGACATGATTTCAAGTTTTAAAACCTGAATTAAAACAAATAAAACTTAACTGAACCAAAAAGTCAATTTTTTCAGGGGAATTTTTTCCACAGGAAGAGTAGACATATATTTAGGGGTAGGGGAACCTGTTCCCTGGTGTTCCACCAGGAGGCAAACCTTCTGTAAGTAAAACTCTACTCCTGTTCCGCCCATGATTTTTCACCTTTTTAGTTTGAATCAACTTAAAGCTTTAATCCGGAAAAGTGTGTTCATTAAAATTCCCAACCAAATAAACAATTAATTAGATTAAACAATTAAGGACCAAAATAATACACATTACGTATTCCTAGAAGCAAGATTGGTATTTTGTGCTTAAAGAAAGAAACATAATGCTTCAGTGACAGAAACACTGAAAATTGCCTTATCCATCTGAAAAGAGGAAATATAAATGTTCAAAGTGCATGTAAACACAAAGTGACCCCCAAAAGCGAAACAAACATGATGATTTCCCAGTTATTACTCTGCGCGCCTCACACTTTGGTGGAAGGCACTAATTTGCATTTGTTGACATTAACTGTCCTCAAATTTCGGGTTGAAGCAGTTTTTCCACTGCAGGCATAACGCAAGCAACATAATTAGCGTCGTACTGTTTATCCTGCAATAAAGTGTTGGTGAAAAAGAACATTAAAAAGCATATTGTCGGCAGAAGAAAAACTTGGTGTCGCTAGAATCGGGTCAAAAGTTTAAAAGCCGTTTTTACAAAGCCTTGTGCTCAGCATATTTCAGTAAATGTATTTAATGCAACTTGTAATATAATTCTATAGAGATGAGATAGTGATGAATATTGTTTTTTTAAGAGACTGCTCATACTAAAGCTGGGTTACCTAACTATTTGTTTCATAAAAGAAAGTCTTGAAAAGGTAAAGTTAAAGGAGCTATACCCGTTTCTGCAATGTCTTTTTTTCATTTTGATTGTTTAGAACCGCCCCCCAACTCGCTCACTCTCCCCTACGCTCTCCTCCCAAGAAGCCATCTAGTTTTTCTGCGATCTGATACATATGCAAACATTAGCATTAGCGCAACTTCTTGTAAGCTGTACAACTGATGAAATGGTACAAAAGCAACGCACAGCTAACAAAATAGATAACTGAAAAGTTATGGACGCTAGTTTTGCGTCAATATGTAGTCCGACGGGGTCCCGCTCCCGCTGGTTTCTTCTTTGATCATTTTATCGCTTTAGTTCCCTCTTCTCTTCCTCACTGTTGCATCGTTTGGGCTGTTGTGCTATGTATGCAGTAACAGCAAGAGGAGTTATAGCCACTTTCTGCTAACATGCTACTGTGTTTACCTGCGCTGTAGACTCGAGAGGGCGCAGCCTGTTTTTGTAACAGGGGTGCTCCCCGTTCTGTGATTGGAGGAGAATGAGCGTCACGCGAAGTCTCTACTCAGCACTTTTTACGGCCTGAATTCATCACAAGCTGAATCAATGAGCTCAAGTTTTCAATTTAATTATAAGTTTTAATACAACTTGAATGTAGTAATATGTATTATTACAAACTCATTAGAAAAAAAATCTTTAATGTTGAAGGTAGTAATGTTGTGAACAAATCAGACCAGTCTTCATCTTATTAGATAACATGTTTGGGCTGAGAGTTGACTGGTCCTCTCTTTTTCACTTTTCTAAAAAAAATAAAAAATAATAGCGTCTAAAGATAAGACAGAGGCAAAAAATACATGCTGATGAAAACTAGTGATAGATCTTCACTCTCAACAGTTTGGTTCTATCTATATACATTGTACCATATTGTGTGGGAAAACTGTTTATATTTGTGCATATTTGACATTGAAGGGACCATATTTGAGTGGACAATATTTACTTTTGATCACGGGTTTGTCTACAGTGCTCAAGGAACAATTGTTTTGTAGTTAGGGTTAGGGCTTTTTTTAGTGTGGGGGTCCGTCAACAGACGAAACAATAGTACTTTGAGCACCAAATAATTATAAGTGACGTTTACAAAATGAGAAAGGTTATACAAGAATATACACTTTACATTGTGTGGCAGATGGATGTGTACTTTATACCATCTACAATACTGAGAACTAATCACTTCTAAGCATTTATTTCATACCTTCCAACAAACTGTGCAAGAATCAAACCAAATGTGATATTCTGAATCGTAAGACCCACGTAAATCCGAGGTAGATCACGATTCAATGGTTGGTGAAAAAGTAGATCTTGGTTTTATAAAGAGTGGGATTGCTGTATAGATCCATACACCATGAATTACTCTTTATATATCCGGGTAATATTTCATTTTTTGGGGCAACGGTGGCTAAGTCGGTAGAGCATTGGTCTTTGGACCAATAGATCGTGGGTTCGACCCCCCATGACCCATGTCACCTGCTCCTGATATTTGCTGCCGTTGTGTCCCTGGGAAAGACACTTAATCCCACTTTGCCTGAAGCCCCTCCTGAAAGACCATCATCCTGTGGACCCGCCACCTGCAGGAGGATCAGCAAGGGACTGCTTTGAGCATTAGGTGGCAGCTCTGATTTCTACCCCCCCAATCCAGAAATGAACTAATAAAGAGGAAGAAAATGACAAGACATGACATATTTAACGTTTCCATTCAGATTTAGACCAGTCAAAAATGTCTACAAACTAAGACATAGTTTACGTCATATAAGCACATACTTCCTTCCACCTTGAGATGCAGTTTTATACCTTAACAAAATAATAATAATCTTATCTCCAAATAGTGATTCCAATCAGTTGCACTGCATATGTTTCTTAAACATTCTTGAACATATTGCTTCTTTTTGTGTGTGTGACTAGATATGACAAGTTTGCAGTGCAGGAATCATTAGGAAATACAGCGCAAAATGAAGTGAAAATTGGAGGCAAAGTCGTCGGTGTCGCAGGCCTAAAGCAGGTTAATAAAACGGCTCTGGGCTGTAAATCTCGAGGTGTTTTTCTGTTCGCTTTTGAAAGGCTGCGTGCATGATGTACTTGCCTCATAAAAGCCACCGCCACCTCTCCTGCTCCTCCTACCTTTGCCTGCCGTAATTCGTATTCCCCGGGAGGTCCCCCTGTCCCAGGCTTGTCCTCCCAGCATGCACCGGGGCGTGGAGGATGGCCCCCATATGGCTCAGAGCGGTATCTGTCAGAGTAATGACTGGTGTCCTCAGCATGGGGCTGGCAGTCTGGAGGAAGAGGAGCATTCTTTTACGGCTCTGCAACCTGTGATCAGAGTTATGTAAAGCCACACGACCAGCAAGTAACGGAATATGAGGACAATTGATAAGGTTTAAGCACCGCCAAAGAAAATAAGTAATTAGTGAATTACAGCACATGTATGAAAGCTGGGGTACCACTCAAATATGAACTATACAATACAAATCCACTTAAATAGTTCCTCAACGTCAAAACAGTTTGGCTCATATCACTAGTTTTTACATTCATGTATTTTTTGGTTTATGACACATATTTAAATCAGCTTTTTTTAGACATAAAAATTAAAACTCACTCAGCCAATCAGCTCTCAGCTCAAGTCAAATAGTATCCAAGTATGCAAAAGATAAGTAGGCAATATGGAATGAGCATTTTTTTTAATACAGTGAAAATTCTTGGACTTGATATCTCCATTGTGATATGTTTTGTGGAAAAAATGTAAGTGTTGCTGTTGAAATGGATTAATAGTGAAATTAAATACTTAACCTTGTCAATAATTTACAAGCTTTGCCTTGAAATTGACAGAAGCAGTGCTGTATTCGATATTCTTGGTTTGAAGAAAAAGTGAAATTGCTTAAGCAAATATTTTAGAGTCAACAGTTATAAAGTTTGGCCATTATAACATCCTTTCTAGCCTTTCATATGCAAACATTTACACTCTGAATGATCGGAAATCAGGCTCAGACTTAGGCTTTGAACTTCATTTAAATCAAGTTCAAATCCATTTTTGGAAAATGTCTCAAATCCCAACTGGTCCAACAGTTTTGATGGTCTGAACGGCTCATTGACCAGCGTGTAATCTCTGTTGACTTAGCCTCTCTGACATTATTTGACTTTGGAGTGAAGCGCTCGTCTTCTCGGACTGGGGCTCATGTTTCATTCATGGGTTGGTGCGGTCCATGTGGGGGTTCTTGCACCTCTCATCGGCCCCTAATAACCGCTTTCCTTTAGCTGCAGCATTAATCTGTGGACCCCCTGCCAGCTCAAAGTCCAGTTCTCCACAGGAAGGCCTCATCATCTCCCCCCTAAAACGTTTGCAGATAAAGTACGAGATACGACCTGGCTTAATGGTGTCATTCAAAACACGCTGGGGCCAAAACCTTAGTTCATTTTTCTTTTTGACGCTTTTAAGTATCTGGTGGAAAAGATAAAATATGTCAAAGGGAGAGCACAACAGCACTATACAAATGTGAGTTTGTGTCTTTGATGTGTACAACATGAAGGCCGGACCCCTGCTGCTACGACCGCAACCAGGAACAAGGTTTTACATAAGGAGAGGGATCACAGGCCGAAAGCAATACAGAACATAAACGATACTGTAGAAAACATAGTCGAATGAGACTATTTGTCCATACTAAGTTCTACCATATTTGTATAGAAGGAGGATGATATTGGAGTACTGACATGCAATGTGTAGGCCCGCTCTGGAAGTAGCTTCAGTTTCTCATTCACCCTTGCTGTGTGAAGGTGAGTTTGCGTTGGTCTTTCCTTCTTGCCGCTGTCAGACTGTTCAATGAGCACCGTTGAGCCTGTACATATCATTCATCTGAATCATGTGCAGTACTGCAGTTTCAGAAAGTCCACTGGATGTCATGTAGAGAGAGAGGGAGATTGATATTGAAGCATTTAAAGCGTTGCTAGGAACCATAGCAGGTACTTATAATGTATATTCTGTTTTTATCATTGTCATTTTCTGCTCACAGAAAACAAAATCAAAGGTATTAATACAGGTTATTCCACTTACTGTATATGCTAGTAAACAACTTAGACAAAGTCATAACTTAAAAAAATCATGTTTCCTGATGCTTCCTGTCACGTGACATCATCAGCTTCCAGTCCCTTCCGAGTGAAAACGTGGATGAAGCAAATCATCCCAGAAAAAGGTAATTTTCATAAATTTGGAATAATTTTTCCCCCAAACATAGAAATAATTATTTGATCATTCAAGTCTCTAGAGTAACCCACCCTCAAAACATTGTACCTGGGGAAAATATTTTTTGAGTTATGGACATGTTTCTGTGCACGGCAACTTTAGTTGCCGGTGGGCACATATGATGTCACTAAAGGAAAGGAAAACAATGCCTAGTATACCTAATAACAGTGCCTCATAATTTACTTATTTTCAATTGTAGAATGGTGTACAATGGCTCAATTTAAACCTCTTAGATTGCTCTTCACATCTAAATAAAGTATTCACAGGTATTCAAAGCCTATGTCTGTAGGATTTTGATATAGCTGTAGCTCAGACCCTCCTCCAGCGTCATGGAGTAAGACACGGGTGTCCAAACCTTTTAGTAAGAGGACCACACAATCATAAAACAAATGTAAGTAAATAACAACAGAGTCAACGACTGGATTCCAGAGTGTCTGAGATTTACAGCAAGATATATCATGACTGTATTGGTGGAGCTGAAGTTAGTTGGATGACACTATCAAAGTGCCTCAATGGCGACTTTGTGTTAGCAGCAGAGGGCCACATAAAGTGGCCCAGAGGGCCGCAATTAGCCCGGGGGCCTGATTTTGGTCATGCCTCATTCTAGGGCACACAACTAATAATATTATATGCATTAACACGCTGAAAAAAATTTGGGCACAAATGGGTTAAGTATTTACATAATTTACATAATTTTGTTTACATGTCCTATTGTGCTTATGGTATACATGTACACGTGCAAATATATTAACATAAATATACAATCAACCAAAAATATTTCCCCAAGTTTCACCATGTGTTGAGTGGCTGAGTGGATAGCAAGAATGTCCTGGGTTTGTATCCCTCTCTTTCTGAGTGGAGTTTGTATGTTCTCCCTCTGTCTGCATAGGTTTTCTCTGGGTGCTCCGGTTTCCCCTACCACTAAAAACATGCAAGATAGGTATGAATGTAACAAGTGAGTGTATGGATGGTGTTGGTTCGGGGCATTGATGGTGTCTCGCTTCTGTCATCACCGTGTGTGGTGTAAATGAAACAATATCTGAACTCTGAACATTGTATAGCACTTTGGGTGATCTTGGTTTGTAGAAAACGCGCTATATAAAAAAAGATGACTTAATACTGCATATGATAGTAACATAATATTTATCAACAAACCACAGAAATATTAGTAAGAAATTGTGTGTAAGTTGGGCCTTTGATTGTGATGCAGGAGGAGTAGAAGGCACCTCATATGTGTCCAGTGTGATAGATGTTTGACATTTACAGCAGCCTGGCCTGATCGAACAGCCCATATCCGAAAGGAGGATGAATCTCTGATCAGACACATTGCAATTTTGTGGCAAGACATCCATTTTCCACTTTCCTTATCACGCAGTCATCATTTAGATTTTGACATGTAAAGCAAACTTTTTGACCTATTTTACATTATTGTATTTGCATCAAAAACAACATACCTGCTCCTGTATAACCCACTTCCAGTCATTTCCAACCATCACACTGGTGAGCACTTTACACTGCACTATTACAGATGGCGCAGCGTTTAGAGCTTCAAGAAGGTCCTGGGTTTGATTCCACCTCCATAACTTTCTGTGTGGAGTTTGCATGTTCTCCCCTTGACCGTGTAGATTTCCTCCGCCTGCTCTGGTTTCCCCTACCACTGAAAACCTGCTCCCATCTCTGTGTGGAGTGAGAGGACAAATGCACACAACAAGTGTAAAGCGCTTTGTGACTCTGGTCTGTGAAAGGCTTTATATAAATAAATATGACTTACTTCCCTATTCCTGTCTTTTTCACAACCGGAGTGATACGATTTATGCCAAATGTGACATGTACATTTCTCCATTGTGAGATCATTAAATCTTATCTTTCCTTTCTCCCTCATCTTGTCTCAGTCACTACCAATGCTCTTGGACAGCCAGAATCATATGTTTGTTTAATGATTATTTTATTCTTCTGGCTCAAATAACAACATAGATATAAAACATACTAACTTTTGTTGAACACATTTTATAACGTGTTTTCCTCCATAGCCGAACCTGCATAAGGCACACCTTGTACCCTCCCATGGGCTCAGGGTCACCGCAGTGCTAATGTGTGGCAGAATGGTGAGCACTCACAGCTAAAAGGTCAAGAAATCAATAGCAGGCAGTGCTTCTGCTTCTTAAGGCATGCATGCGTGAGAGTCAAACTGGTGAGAGAGGGTACCGCTGAATGTGACCTCGTTGCACACTCTATATCTGTAAGTGCCACAGTGAGTATCAATCCACCCTTATTCGCAGAGCGCTTTTGCTTGGTTATACTCTCACATAATCTTCTTTCTGTTTAAACAGATATGTTGCATCTACTGTTTTGATGACTGCAGAATTCCAGACAGTGGCCCAAAGACCAGTGACCTTGGTCTGTAAAATGTGGTATATAAATTAACATCACTTACAAACGTACTTACAGTTTGCTGAATCAAAAAAGTGAAGTGGTCTGTGTGAACCCTTACCCTTTTGTTCTAACTTACTGCCTTTAGCAGACACGCATAGATGCAAAGGCATTACTGTATATGCATTTAATTAAAGGAGCTAAACCCGTTTCTGCAAGGTTTGAATGTTTAGCACCGCCCCTCAACTCGCTCACAGGCTTCTCATTTCCCCTACGCTCTCATCCCACGAAGCCTGCTAGTTTTATTTGCGATCTATATGCAAACATTAGCAGGAGCGTAACTTCTTGTAAGCTGTACAACAATCACTGATCAAATGGTACAAAAGCAATGCACTGCTAACAAAATATGTATCTGAAAGATTACTGCTAGTTTCGCGTCCGAATGTAGTCTGAGCATAGCTAGTCCGAGGCGGTCCCGCTCCATAAGATGTAAGCTAACGCTACGTATACTCACCCGGCCTTGATTTCTTCTTTTTTCGCTTTAGTTCCCTCTTCTCTTCCTCACTGTTACATCGGTCGGGCAGTTTTGCTGTGTCTGCAGTTCCAGCCAGAGCAGGTATATGGGCACTTACTGCCTCCATTCTGCTCTAGTTTACCAGCGCTGTAGAGACTAGAGGACGCAGCTTCGTTCTGTGTGGAGGAGAGCGGGCGTCACGCTAGGTCTCTACTCAGCACTTTTTACGGCCTGAATTTATACACAAGCCGAATTAATTAGCTCAACTTTTCAATGAAATTACGGATTATAATACAACTTGCATGTAGTAATAAGTATTTTTATGAACTAAAATGAACTATGAAAAAAAAATTGGGTTTAGCTTCTTTAATATAAGCTTTCTAGACTTAATGACCACAGATGGCCATTACCATGATAACAACCTTGTTTTTGTAGCTCTATGAACGTAATACTTGTGTGTCCGATGCTGATGGATTTCAGCCACTGTTCAAGGCAGTTTTACACAAAGTAAGTCGTACAAAAAAAGGTACATTACAGCAGATGTTTTTTTTGCCACTGAAAAGCATCCTCCATCCATCCATTTTCTTCCCCTTAATCCATTTCTGGGTTGGGGGGGTGGCAGTCAGAGCTGCACCCAGTTCACAGAGCACCAGCCCCTCACTGATCCTCCTGCAGGTGGTGAGTCCACAGGAGCTGAGATCTTTCAGCGGGGGCTTCAGGCAAAGTTGGGTTAAGTGTCTTGCCCAAGGACACAACGACAGCAGTCATCAGTGGGAGTCGTGAAGTAGGTCTTATGGTGGGCTCGAACCCACGACCTTCAGGCCTACAGGCCAGTGCTCTACCAACTGAGCTACTCTCGCATGAAAAGCATCCTAGCTCTCCCAATTACACCTTTGATATAATATTACCAATAACAATGCATCAGTTTTATATAGCCCTTTTTGGACACTCAAAGATGCTTCACATGTCATTATTCATTCACTCCATACACAGTGGTGATTAACTATTACAGTAGCCACAGCTGCCCGGGGCACACTGACAGAAGCGAGGCAACCAGTATGTGCCATCGGCCCCTCTGACCACCACCAACCATTCACATGGAATATGTATTACTTATTTATTTACTTTATTTATCAATCTACCCATATAAGGAGCTCTGAGATATCCTCTTTGGCCCTCCACACAGCTGTACTGTATGAGCAGTGGACTTACAGGCCTCCACTCAGACCAGCTCTAACAAACTCAACTGTGATGTCATCTTCATTACAAGAATCCTGACAAGTTTTACAGAATAAAATAAGTCTGTTTTTGAAGCGTTATGTGCCCGGCTTGTCTCCAAATCATGTTTTGAATTTGACAACATTGTTTGTAACAGGAAACAAGGGGCTTCAAAACTTTGAATAATGAATGAGGACTGTGGGTTTTTTTCTCCACACAATCCTCATTCATTATGAGATAGACCCAAATGAGCAAATGCTGTTTTGAGTCTTGAGCTGAGTACAATTCCTTTTACAATCTCATAACAGTGCTTGTGTCTTGGCGTAGATTGATAGGTGCTGCTGTAGACTCTACTAGTCCCAAAATTATTCATAATGTGGGAGTCGCACATATTTTAGATGAATATTTAGGGCTGAGACAGCAGTAGCATAACGTGAGAGGAGAGGATATATTTAGCAGATGTATAAGGCCAGAAACAAGACCAAAGATGAGTAACAAAATTCATTCACTGGAGCTTCATATGGTCCATTAGTAAGTATAGCACCAGCCCCTCACTGATCCTCCTGCAGGTGGTCCGCAGGAGGATGGCTGCTCCTCCAGCAACGACACAGCCTTGGGGGGGACTTGGGGCAGAAATGGGGGAAGTATATTTCTCAGGGACATAACAACAGCAGACATCAGTGGGAGAAGGTGACAGGTGTAGGTGTCTATAGTGTTAGGTGTCTAGTGGGGAAGTGAACCCACAACTAATATGTCAGAAGCAAAAAAACTAGCATGTTTTTTTCCACATGTACTGAAAAAACCTGACTCATACTTATTTTGGAGCTGGTCCTCCTTGAGACATTTAAGTTACTTTGACTGAAACCTTCCACAATATGGTTTTAAGCATTATTTCAACAGAAAGTTAAAAAAGTGCGGATTTAACTTTTTCGTTGCTAAGGAATTGTGTAGATGTCATCAAGGCCTCAATATAACTCACTCTGTGTATTGTTAATTCACTCCAAACACAGTAGAATGTTAAAATGTTAGGTAGCCACAGCTGTCCTGGGGCAGACTGATGGACGTGAGGCTGCTGCACATGTGGTGCTGTAGGTGCTTTGTGATTCATTGACCAACTTCACACAAAAGCTTCATACAAAGCAATGGGTGAAGTGAATTGTCTAATCATAAAAAAGTTTGCATAAAAAAGTCTCAACCTCCCAACATTTGTAAACCCTTAATTGATACCCTTAATTATTGATCTTCATGAGGCGAAACTACTTAAATAAACACAACTTAAATATGCTGTTAATTACAATCTTCTCTTTCTGTAAACTTCACTGTTTGTCTGGATTTTTACAACTTAATGAAAAAGTGCAAACTCATAAACAAGTGCACTTTAAGGCCGTGCCAGAGGTGCTTAGGTTCGACATTGGTCCCTTGAATGCCCAAACGGATGCATTCACAGATGAGTTTTTCATTTAGCGCCTGGGAGAGCGAGGTGACTAATTGGTATGTCTAAAGAGCAGCAGTAAATCCAGCCTTCCTGTCTGCTTAACCCTCGTTTGTCGCCATCATTAACATTCGCCTACTTCTTCATTCCGCCCGCTCCTCCGCAGCCTCGACTCTGATTAAAAAAAACTAAAGAAAACAGTCTTTGATTTATTCACTGGCCCTGCACCATTGGCCGCCACAGAGAAGGTTATCAAGGGCATCTATGATCGGGACTAAAAAAATAATTGATTATTAGGTAAAGGATCTTGTGAAGTTAACTGTTAATAAGTCATGTTTGTCTGAGAAAAAAAAAAATCTTTACGTACTTTAAAGTCAGGAGGAAGAATCGAGCAGGTTCATGAAAAATTAGAATGAATAAATTGTATGTTTACATTGCCTTGAAAAAGTATCCATACCCAATGAGCTTGGTTGAGTTCAGTTCCTTTTGATATCGGTTTGTATCGGGTAAACTGCACATATTAGAAGCCAAAGTATACGTACATCAATAATCTCTGTAAGACACAACTTAATTAAGAAAAAGAAAAACAATAGGATCTTTCAATATTATTAACACACTCTAAAGATCAATAAACCGCTATCGAGAAGTCTGCTAAACTTCAAATCGGGTGCTTCCAAACTTTCAAGGCCATGACTTTTAAAAAAACGTGATAGCCCTTTAGTAAACTACAACATTTTTGTGTAGGATTTTTAGAATTTACAGACAAAAACACAGTCCTCAGTCCTCTATAATACTACAAACTTATCCTATTATTGTTGCATCTTGCACATTGCCTAAAAAATGTGTCACTTATTTTTACAATCAAACATAACTAGGTGTCAAACCCTCTCCCAGCGCAGACAGGTAACGTCTCTTCAAAAGCCTGTGTTATATTTTTTTTCCTGGAGTGGTGGTTTAATTAGTGCAGAAGTGCGCTCGCCGCGGGTCTGCCCTCTTTGTGTGACTGTCGCGCTGGGATCACGTCTGAATCCTGTAGAGACGCAGAGAAGAGAAGATGAGGTGTGAGAAGAGCCAGCTGTGCAGACCTCTTCACTCCGTCTTCTGTGAGGACGAGAAGCCATCCCGGGGTTTATTGACGCCACTCCAGACACTGACAGTGAGTTATTCAGATATCAGCGTGGTGCATACAACATAGCTAATCATGTTTCTTTGAGGATTAATGGCTCTGAGAAATAACTGTAATGTACCTGTAGTATAGAAATGTGGTATTATTACAATATGTACAAAGGTTGTCAGTCTGCGTAATATTCTGTTTGAACTGCGGAGGGCACAATTTGATATGAAATTGGAATTATTGGATCGCTGCAAACGTAACCACATCACATCCAATATGAGTTCAAGGCAAGTTTCTTTGTACAGCACAATTCACACACAAGGCAACTCAAAATGCTGAACAAAACAAGATAGAAACAGTCGCACAAGACATTCAAATCAAAAAACTTGATCAATGAAATATAAAGATACAAATATAAAATCCCTCAGTTGTATGCACAGCTATGGATTTTAACATTGTCAGAGAAGAGGTCTGAGTCACATATTCAGATTTAATTAATACAACGGATCAAACAGGCTTACAAAAAGAAGGAGAGAGCTGTCTATCTTTTAGATCTGACTGCTCCAGCGACCAGCAGTGGACGTTCAATGTGCAGGAAAATATATCAAACTGGCCACTGAAAGACGCTCTCAGTTTAACAATTGTTTATTGTTAAGACGTTTTCTGTGAGAAAACTAGTCATCTGTAAGTAACCTGCCCACATGTGGTAAAGCATAGTATTTTAATTCACACCTTTTTGCTTCAAAGTGTCATTTTTAAGCTTTCAGCCTTGACATTTTTATCCAGCTGTAATTCAGCAGGATAATAAGGTACATTCAATTTGAAAAAAAAATTGACGAAATGCTATTGTGTTAGAATCTATTCAAACCCTGCCCCAACCCTATAGATCCCCTGTACTATTTGTCAACAAAAACGTATTTTAAATTCAGTCACGTTTCAAGCTGGTACTGTAGATGCGAGATTCGAGAGTCTGTCCTCGAGTCTGAGTTTAATTAGTCTGTGAGTGAAGTGCTTCTGCTGCAGGTCTTCCTCTTTGTCAAACTGTCATGGCTGCCTCACTCACGGATCATGTCGGGATCATGTGGAGATGAGATGATGAGTGTGTGGGCAGTGAGACGGAGCCCGCTGTGCGCTAAAGGTGACCTATTCGCTCATAGAATCATGCCTCGTGGCACGGTCCACTTTTAGACCCACTCTCTGCACGCCTGCACACAATTACAAGTCCAATGAACTGTTTTTAAAGAGTACATGTTGTGAAAAAGTTTTTATTCATTTATTTATATTTTTAAACAAACTTTTCAAAAGCGGATTGAACACGGATACTCTGCTGCTACGCCATTTGAGTTGTTAGCAATTCAGATGACAACAAAACAATGTGATGCTAATAGTAGAACCAGGAAGTGGAGGGGGTGCCATGAGAACCATTATGACATGCCCACAAACCAGGAAGGAAAAGGCTTTTATAAACAGCTGAGAAATTATAAGTTTTCATGTTTTTATGCTTCTCCTTCATTTGCTGCTGTTTGTCAGCGCTCTCTGGGCTCTTTGAACAGAGCCATATATTTCACTAGAATACTTTATCTCTGAGAAGTACTCCTGCTGAACACGGACTTTCTGATCACCACTTTTTCTCAATGAAATTATTTTAAGCCTCACGTACTCTAAAGGTCTGTTGTTTTAATCAATCAATGTCAATCATCTCCTGGATTTCTTATTATTAATATTATTTTTTGGACAGAAAACAGCTTATTTATCATTTTTGTATTGTTTTACCCGTTTAGACAACATTACTTTTGAACAATTTTAAACACAAAGACGGGCTTCAGTGTTCAAATAGCACTATATTTATGTTTAAAGAATAGAAGAGTTAAAAGGCTTACTATGGAACCTTTAAATCATGAAAAAATTATCAATTTGATGCAGTCACATTTAAGGCCTTAAAAGCTTCACATTTTACAAAATCTGGCATGGCATAAAGGTTATTCAATTTGACAATATTGCTAGAAAGGAGCATGTGATTTGTGACATTGTGGTGCGAAATGATTGTGATATGCCACATTTCCTGCTTTAAAAAGTCATGTGGATTTGAAAAACGTTTGCTTGATGTTTGATAAAGGCTTTTGCAAGACACCACATGTCTGTTATTACATTTAGTGGGTGTCACGACCCCTTCCTCCTCTCTGTGGTGGAGCTGTGGGCGGACCTTTGGCGCGTGGTGCGTCAGGGCCCGACGCGCCACGCCACGCTGGCTCTCTCTCAGCCTGCGTCCTGTGCCACACCACTTTGTTTTCTGTTCCCGTTATGGTTTTGTTACGCATCACACTTCACATCGCACCATACGAACACACAACCGTTCACTCGCATACACCACTGACCCTATGACAGTCACACCCCATTACTATTTTTACTTGGTTATACTTGGGTTAATCTTCTTTTAAAATAAAACACCCTTTAAGTATTCCATTATGGTTGTCTGCGTCCACATTTGTCATGGCCTTGAGCCAGGTTATGGCAGTGGGTTTTCTCTTCCATCACTTTGGTTTATTATTTTCTCATTTCTGAATCTGTGACGTGTGCTTCAGTAGATTGGAATTTGAATATGAGCTGCTTGCTACAATGATCTGATAGTTTGTCTGCTCCCATGACATTCATGATAACCTCATCCATTCACCCTGAACTATTGCACATGTTTTTAGTGATAGGGGAAACCGGAGTACCTGGAGGAAACCTACGCAGACACGGGGAGAACATGCAAACTCCACTCAGAAAGGCCCTGTTCCGACCGGGATTTGAACCCAGAAATTTCTTGCTGAGAGGCGAGAGTGTTATCCACTCAGCCACTGTGTCGCCCTATGTCAAGTAGTGTCAAACCATAGGCATCAGTGTCTCATTTTACAGCATAGTACAATCATTCCCTTTCTCAAGCCAGTGCTCAGAGAACAGAAAACATGAATATTGAACTCACGGTCACATCATTAATGTATGTGTTTCGTGCTTGAAGGAAATGTAATAACAACCTCATCAAATGAACCACTGAATTGAATGGGAGTGGGATTATGTATTCATACTACAACATTTAGTAAAACAGGCATATTTATCATTCCCAACAGAGCCAGAGCAGAATAAAGCTATTGGAAAACAAATCTCCCTTGGACCACGGACACGGACCAGCGGTGCATCTGAATTGCTCTTCCTAATCAGAGAATGTGAGTTGTGTTTTTTCTACAAACAAGGAAGAAGCTCAACCAGGGCCCAGACCGCAGCAGCCACACACTCTTTTGTTTTGAGAATGAATTGTTGTTGCATGTCCCCATAGGCCGAGGGGAAGATTTACAAGTCTAAATCCAACATCATTATAGCCAGCAGTATCGTGTGCAGCTGATTGTGAGGCGGTGGTCCGGTTAAACGCCCTGGATTAGAGAGAACATTTGTATATAAACAGAATCATATGACTTATAACTTAAATTACCAAACTTTACCTGTCAGATGTGGAATTGAGCATTTCTATGTTTTCCATTAATTGTGAGTCAATAGATGCTTGAAAGATGCATTTGTCTGCTCTGTAATTACAGTTATAGTAGTTTTATTTAGGGCTGTAGCAAAAAATAATAAATCAAATATTCCCAAAAAAGTTGTGAAGTCCAGTCTCTGTAGGATGTGAACTCAGGGTGAAGGCCTATGTCCAAAAGCATTGCATCTCCTAAAGTGAGTCCCGCTTGAATCCTTGTTTGTTTTAGCTGCTTTCAAGCGTCTTCTTCTTCCTGCACTGACTGCCTTGTGACCTCATAGGCTGACGAGTACAAGACCGACTCAAAAACATAACAAAGTCAATAAGGCACTTTCACAGGTACAAATTGGTGCAGGCAAAAACACACCATACTCACCGCCCCTGTCGCACAAATGCATCTGCCGTGCCCAACAAAACAAACACACACACTGAATATTCTCATATTCTCATGAAGTATGGCACTATTGACTTTGCATGAAAACCTGCCGTGTCGCTTGGTCTGGTGGGAACGCAGCTTGAGAGAATGAGAATTTTGAGATCCTAATGAATTATTCTGAATATGGTACTTCTGAATTTATCCTCCAAATTGAGTGGTCTCTGTAAAGAAGGGCGTGAACCATTAACATTTGTCTGGAGCGTATATTAGGAGTAGACTGGCCGAGTAATGATATTTCCATGGTGTTTAATTCTGAAGAAGGCTTATGTGGGCCTTTGTTCTGACAGTGTTGGATTTAAAATGGTTGTTAGGGCAACCATGAAGGCATCTGATTGGTCAATCCTTACATAAACGATAAAGTTTATAGATCTCACAATGGAAAAATGTACAGCCCAGGATCACATAGAGCTGTGAATTGCACTTATTACACGGCTCCTCACAGCAGCAGTAGAACGCTCCATTGATATGAAAGTAATTTAGAAACGTTCTACCGGTCATTATTTCTTCATAACTGACCTCTCAAAACAATAATGGCCGCTGCCCATGGCAACACAACCTCTGCTTGTAGTTCAGATGTGTAGATTAACCATGTAGTCCGGCCTCTTCGTCGCTAGCCACTCTCAATAAACGCAAACACCAATCAATCAACACATTTAAATGTTAATCGGAGAATACATTATACATATGCATTCTTAATATACATGCACAGAGGTTTTCAGAAGTATCTGTTAAGGTTTTCATGACAAAATACTGTTTTAATGCGAGAAAACGCTATCGCAAAAAATCCCAGAAGTAGATTCCGGGACATTTTAGGAACATTTGCAGAGAATAAAATTATGGATTTAGGTTGAGTTTATGTTTGGGTCACTCACCGCTGATGTTCAGAATTCTTTGTTCAGTTTTCATGCAGTTCCAGAGAGTTCTAGTTTGGAAGTTGCTAGCCTAACTGTTACTCGCAAAGCCTCGGGAAAGCCTTTGGGAACCATTTTATTTTCTGTCATTGATTAAACCTTTCGGCATTCCTAAAAGTGGACTGAAGTTTATGTTGTGTGTTCTGGTGGTACAAAGCCGTATAATAAGCGGGATAATGTATAGTACGTTGGTCAATATCGGAAAATAAGTACCGACAGGGTGAAGTGGACCTGGACACATTATCCCTTACATGCTCTTCTATCTTTTTCACTTTGTTTGGTTTAGTTTTCATTAGTTTTACTGCAAACTAGTCTTTAAACTCTACCATTTCCTTCTATCTCAAACCAGCAGGCGCACAGAAGTCTGCCAGTAGTGATATTAGTTCTGATTATATGTTCACATGTTCCTGATTAAAGTATGTGGACAACTTCTGCTCCTCAATCTAGAACTAATGAAGTCTTAACTGGCTTTGACATCAAGTGTGTGTCGGCAATGCTAAATATGCCTTTTCATTTAGCGCTGGCAAAACATCCATATCCACTGATTAAAATAAACTCAATGTTACAAAATGCACAGGAAGCAATATTACTACAGCTACTACTTATGTTATGAAGAGTCCAAAATACTTGCCTTAGTAGAATCTTGTGCCGGTACAGTTTTGAAATGAACCACTTACCAACATATCTTGATTGTGCAAAGGTTTAGAACTACTCCAAGACACAGTGCAAACAGAATGCATTTATCACTGTTAGACATATTTTTTTTAATTCGAGCCAAAATGCCTGCTTCTGCTTTTGCGTATCAAAGATTGTATTTGAAGGTTGTAAATAAAAAATAATATTAAAACAGTTGGTGCGCATAGTGAAATGTAATCTTTATAATGACTGCATTATGGTGTTTTTGTATATGTGCATTACAAATATAGATTAAATGAACTACTGCTACTACTACTATTACTACTTGGGCGGCACTGTGGCTGAGTGGATAGCACCCTCGCTTTTCAGCTAGAAGGTCCTGGGTTCAAACCCTGGTTGGAACAGGGCTTTTCTAAGAAGAGTTTGCAGGTTGTCCCCGTGTCTGCGTAGGTTTTCTCCAGGTACTCCGGTTTCCCCTACCACTAAAACCATGTACAATGCGCCTGGAATGCGCCTCCTGAACTGGCGACCCATCATCTCTGTATGGAGTGAGAGACAAATCCCCAAAAATAAGCGGTATCTGTATTGTTGTGTCCGCACTACGAATACTATCGTCAATACTACTTAATGCAACTGTATACCACTACTACTACTATTTTTTATCATCAAACTATATATTCCACTACTACTGCTATTG